TGAAATTTCGATTATGCTCCGATAATACATTTTAATTTATTTTACTTCAACAAACTTCATCATTATCATTACCATTCATCATCAATCAGTGCGAAAGACATCCTATTTTCTTCGTTACAAAAGATACTAAAATCTTAAGGTTATTGTATATCCAAAACATAAAATATTAATAGTTTGTTGTATATTAAACTCACAAATCATATAGTGGAAAGTGAATTTTTGTTAAATTTAAAAAAAGGGAAAAGAATATTTCCATAGAATTAAAAGAAAAATTTGAACAAATTAAAAAATTAGAAAAAAAATATACTTGTTCTGCTGATGGCATAAAAGATGGAAGTAAAGGTATAACGGGAAACATATATTCCAATGGATACATTAATGCAACAAGTGCTAACACGCACATACTGACCGCATTGTAATTGCGTGATTGTAAAACTACCTAAGAAAATAAATTATTTTGAAAATTATCATTTTACTTCTTTAAAAAAAAAGATTTCAAATGAATCACATGAAAATAACTAATTTAAATAATTAATAAAATCAGCTTATTTGATCATTTTAAATTAAATTAAAATAAAAAAATTGTGATTCAAATGAATCGATTATTGATTAAAATTAATTAATTAATTATTTTATCTTAAAGTTGTAAAATTTTCTCAAACTCTTATCCAACACAATAAATTTGTAATAATTTTCAGACCTTTGATTCAAGCATTATAGCAGCCATAACTTTCATAGCCGTATCAATTCCAAGAAGTTCGAGAGGTAAATGAAGTGGAAAATCAACAAAAGAAAATCGTGTATGATCGGGAAGAGCGAATTCAAAAGTTGGCAAAATATTTGATGGTAACACCTTAAAAATTACATGAAAATTTGCGAATCAATTACAAAAGCCTCATTCCATAAATTTTTAATTTTGAAAAATAGATGCAAATTTTGTACCTCAATAATAAATATTGTAATGTGGAAAAAACAAAAAAAAAAAAACCTACCTCCAAAAGTACCTTGGTTTTTCCTGGAACAGAAACTGGTGCACTTAATAGCATGAGAATCCACGTTTCCAACTCTCGAATATCTTGCATTACGCGGGCTGGAATTGGTTCCGTCCAACAACCCGTTAGTATTGCCCAAATTATATCCCTAAAACGAATATATTACAAATAATAAAATGCTTTAAAGAAAGTTGGAGAAAAAAAGTCTATGAAATTCAGTAATAAAAAGTTGAAAATAAGAAAATGGATTTACTTTGAATATTGTCCATCTTCGCTAAGTCTTTTGCCACAACCATCGATCAATTTCTTCAATAGCAACAATAATTCGCGAAATGTGGAAAGAAATGGATGATGACTAATTAAGCATAAGCTTGTTAATGAAAGCCTTTGATCCAATCTGTAATAACGTTTTTACGATCGATTTCTGCGAGACTTCCACAAAATGTTACCTGAAAACCTACGCAAATGGTAACAGCGGATAGGACAGGAGATAATTCCGGATGTTTCAAAATAAGCCAAGAAGATACGAGTTTTTTTTTAGCCAGCTTATACTAAGCAAATTCCCAATTAATTCCATATATTATTTTAATAATTATTTCTTCTCAATTATTAGATTCTTCTGCATAATTGATAACTAAATTAACCTTTTATGAGAACGATTACTATACAAAACGCTTTTATCATCCGTTGATACTGCACGATTCTTTTCATAACTTTGTAAGAAATTTAGGCAAATGCCATATCGAATTTTTGCTGAATCTTTCTCTGTCAACGTGAATACAAAACTGCTTATTTCTCGATGAGAATGTGAATGCCGTGGTACTTCTATAAAACGGTATCCGTAAATACATAAACATTATCAGTTAGGTAGCAAAATTCAGAAAATGAAATTTGTGAATATTCGTAAACTATGTTTTTTCCAACATCTTTTAAATGAATAAAAATTCTGTGCAAAAATTTGGAAAATTTCCGTCATTTCTTTAAAAATGACCAACTTAACAAACCTTTTGTAACACATCCTTCCGGTTGACAAAATACTGTAACATCGATTGGCAGATAAAAATCTCTGTGATCATTGTTTGGATAACGCCTTAACAATTCAGGTGTTGTGATACTTTGTGATGTTGATGATAGTGATGCATCACTAATACTTGTCTGTGATATATATTTTCCACGACGTCGACCAACTATTACCTGAAAATTTTCATTGTTAAATTATTCGAAAATTCAACCGATTTATATAATATTTATTACTTTAAAGTTTAGAAAAAAAAAATCATTAATCTACTACTGTTATTCAAAAATATAGCAAGAGCTATAACTAATGATGAAAAGTTATTTTTTGAAACTCAGATACTGAATAATAAAAATATATCAATAAATTTATAAATTTACAAAGGTACTTATATTGAAATTGTACAAAGTTTGGGAAGAAATTTCAAATTTACACAGAAAATTATCAATTAACTTTAATAAATATACCAAGTAGTCAATCAAGCGCGGACAAAGTTCTTTTCCCTTATCATCCATCTGACATGATTCAAATAACAAAAAGAATCCAATTATTTATTTTGTCTGTAAGAAATAGCAACAATAATATTAACAATAAACAAATATAATAATAATGATGAATAATAAATAACAATAGTAATAATACAGAATAGAAGCAAATAATATGAATTTTCAACAAGGTTGGCGAAAATAGCATTGACGAAGAAAAAAAAAATGAAAATAAAAGAACAATATTGATGATTAATGATATTAAATTTGTTTGGCAATGTAAATTTAATTAAACGAGAAAACGGTGATAATAAAATTTGCTATGAAGTATAAATTTGAGTAAATGGGAAATTATTGAAATTTTCTTATAACACCATTCTATTCTTGCTTTGATATTAATTGAAAATTGTCTAAACTTAACCTATTAATTAAATTAAAATTTTTTCAACTACACGAACTATCGATGTTATCAATCTAAATGTTCCTGGCATAAATTAATGTGTTGTAGCTAATTGGTCAGTAATATTAAACATGTTACATTTGGGTAAACTTGTTCATATTTTTCGAATTAAGATTTTATTAAAAAAAGATGTATGGTAAATTCCTATTTCATTTATTATCAATAATATTCTTTGAAACATTTTATTCTTTGAAAAAAAAGTTTAGCAAACACACATACCTCCCTATATTCTTATATACGAAAATATTATTTTTCGAAATTTTTATGGCTTTTATTTTTTTTAAAAAAAAAAAGAGAAAAAAAGGAATTTTTATTTTTCCATGAAAGGGAACTAATAAAACAAGTTACAATTTATTTGTTAAACATTATTTATTCAAGGACATATGGCTTAGTTTTAGAATAAATCATTTGTCAAAGTGATGTAAATAGTTGAAATTAGTCAAGCTGAAATGAATAGAAGTAATTATCAAGTAATTATTGACCGATAGGTGCATCTATACGGTTATAAGTATTGCACTTTATTTGAAATGTTTCGGTTGCAGATTTTTTTCACAAAAAACTCACATTTCATATCAAAAACAAACTACTTGCTGTATACAGGCGGAAAAAAAATAGGAATTGTTTATTAAAGATGAATAATTATTTTACATCTTTTTTTCAGTTATATTTTAGAAGAAATTTTAAAATGAAAAAAAAAAAAACAAGAAGTAAATATTTAGATATTTAGAAAATTCTACCTGATTATTTTCTCGTCTTACTGCGAGGATAAGGAGAGAGAGTTAGAAATAAAGTGAAAGTATTGGATTCCTGTTAGATTTTTCGTACGATTCATAATTCAAATATATCGAAATAGCTTTAGCATGGAATTATGAGAACCATTATAGATGTCATGTATTCATGAGACGATTTAGTAATGCGCAAGATATTTTATTATTATTACTATTTATTATTATTTATTGTTTATTGTTTATTGTTCATTGTTTATTGTTT